AATCTTTGTGAGTCCAGTCGAAGGATGAATGGAGAGACGGACGTAGTCGGGGTATCTCTCACGGATTAAGGCTGCAAAAGCCTAGAGTTTCGTATTAGCATGCACAACATCGATCGATACGGGGATTATTTCTTACCACACCACGAGCAATCATTGCTTTGGCCGTATTATGTACCAGAGCTTTCCACTTCTTCCCACTAGCCGCATTCTGTCGGAAAGGACTAAAAGCAAGATCCTTCTTCAGAAACTTGGAGTAGCCGTCATAGGTCGACTTGTAGTCCGGATCGTTCTGAATATACCAATTCGCATCGAACTCAGAATCGCCGTAGCGGGTCATCATGATGCGACGGGAAGGCTCAAGTAGATGAACAAAGTCCTCCTTGGAGATTTGCTCATCCGTGTGCAATCCTAAAAGATTCATAATGCGGACAAACTTGATGCAGTCGTAGCCTTTCTCTGCGACCATCTTGCGCAGAGTAACTCCGTACTCCCAGAGGCTATCCTCCGTAACACCTGTGAGATCTTGTTTCATCAGCTAGTACTTTTTCAATCACAGAAATTTACTCACCATTATAACAAGCACCATCAGTCGCAATAAGAATCATGGCACCAGGCTCATAGACGCGGCTGATTTGGGTGCACAAGTCGTTCAATCGATCCAAAGCAAGCTCTTCTCCAAGGTCAGGGCTGGTGCCAAGAACCTTGTCTTGTGTATTGATGCTTTTTGCCGGGAAGGCTGGAAGAACCATAGGGAGCTTCCTGTGCTCAGATACATGCAGGTGGACTTTTGGCCCGAAGACCTTTCTTCCCATAAAAACGTCGTTGCCATACTGCTGAAGACTGAACTTCTCTAGGATATCCATGATGGAAGCGACTGTCTCGTCGATCTTCTGTCCCTTTTTGATGCCCTCATTAAGCGCAGCCTTGATCAAGTCGTTGCTGGAAGACTGTGGGATCCGAACAGTGTGCTCTTCCGCAGGTAGAGAAGGTCGCGAGAATGGTTGCAGTCCAATCTGGACTGGTGCAGTGGAAACCAAAGTCTGGGACATCTTTGGGTATGTATAAAAGACTTATTTTCGAAGTGTATTATGTAGAGAAAGATATATCGTGAAATGTGTTAATGGGTATATATATTACAAACTAAGTGATGAGAAGGTAATGTGGAAGGATGTTCTGAAAACTTTGGGGCTGCACTCATCTCTGAGATATCTATATAGTGTTCACTCTTGTGTCATTACCTGAGTTGAGATTGAATGTGCGCTATGATCTCACTAGCCCGGAGAGATTGGATACGCCAAAGCGTAGACTCAACAAACGCTTGAGCTCTGGGATCGGGGTGACGTTGGCGGATCAACATCACCACATGTTCCATGATGCTTTGCTGCATCGTGGCATCACCAAAGCATGTTCTCTACATTCTATGGCTGGATACTATCACGTGATTCTTTAAATAACTGAAAACGCTTTTCCATGCTATTAGTGGGTATAGAATCTCGGGAAAATGCAGCGGAAAACAAGAAAGCAAAACTAGCATTGAGGCTTTGCGGTGTCATCATTGGTTGCATGGAATAAGTAAAACAGGTCTGAACTCAGAGACTTTTGGTACTTGGGACTTCTTTTTTTTGCATCGCTCATGAACAGGGCATAGCAAACGGCCAAGGGATCAAGAAATTTTGTTGTCTTTTTTGCATTTTCGGGAAACAGAACGCATGAAAGCGGAGTGTCTTGGCGAACACTGATGCGGAGGAATAAATGATTAGGTATGAGTACTCGCCCCGACTTATTTACTTATTTTTCGCTTATCTAGCACAGATTTCGTAGATCTCTATTATCGAGCTCCTCAACAGAGGCCGATCAGGGGCCATGTTCAGCTCAGAATAATACCGATCGAGTGGTAGCTTTAGGCTTTGTTGTCGGAGCCATCGAAGCACCACGAGGAATCGGGGTTTCGTTGTGTTGGAACAAATTATTGAAGAACCATCAAGCGTGTTCAAAGAGCAAGGTGTGCCTCAAAGTCAAAGCACATGTCTGTGACTGACCCAAAGTGGTAGAAATACGTGGAATGAGCTCCTCTGGTCTGAGAGCTCTGATACATGGTACCGTGACGAGCATCGTGACGTCAGCCTATTCCCTTCTGGAGTCTCGTCTTGACTCAAAACTTTAGCCAGCAGGGTCTTTGCACATCAGTTCACTTGCCTAACGTGCTATAGTTTCTAAAACTTGTGATAGAGTTCAGCGTCATTCAAAGAAGACTTTGCTAGAAATCGCGCGCTTCAGAGGTCTTTTGTTCTATACGAGCATCTTCCTGGCCAATCCCCGTACTTACTCTAGCTCGCTTCATTTCATGCCCTTCGTCCTGCAAACGTTGGCGTCAGCTTTCCCGTCCCTGGCATCGCTATTTTCAGAGCCTCAATACAAAGGCCTTGGCTATTTCCTGGTTCCTGCATATTCCCCTTCAATAAACACCCAAGCAATTTAAGTTTAACTCTTCACTTTCGAGTGCAATCCCTCTGTGCACTAGAATTCTGTTGACTTCGTATTTTTCTCGTCATGAGACGTCATCTTTGGTCTACACAAGTCCTTGTCGAAAACTTGAACGTGAATAGCTCATTTCAGCGGCCAAGCAGTACGATCTTGGACACCAGGTGTATGCAAAATATCGACGATGTTGCGATCAAGTGCGTACGCTAGCTTACCCCACGTCATGATCAACGGTCTTAGGTACCGGACATACAGATTCTTTGACGGGAGACTTGTAGTAATATGACTTTCCCTGAGTTACACTAACCTTCTTTAGGACAATGAAGCAGTACTAGACCTGTCGTGTCGTAATCACCACGCGTTAGTCCCCTGTTTCTTTTAGTTTCACATATGCCAACCACTTCTTTGGGACCGATGCTTTAGCATACTCTTAGGAAAATTCACCTCTTAAGCGACAACTTGAATCTCGATCCAAGTGTACAGTCATTGCAGATTCATTAGACGATGAATACTGTAACAATTTCGATTAAGGATTGATCTTGTAATCGTCGCTCTCAAACTCATATGCTTTGAGTCGACTGTGGCCACGTTCGTACCTGTATTCGCCGTCACACTGGGAGTTTACAAATTACAATATATCCTCTTGCGATGATACCAGGGCAGCGAATGGGTATACCGAGCGAGGAACCACAGCTTCTGGCGAGTAGTGAGATAGCAGTATGGATGCGCCGCAGCTGCTGCCTGAGATAACGAGGGAGGATACATCGGAGAGGATAATGTGAATACTTAGCAAATTATTCAATTAATATGGAGGTAAATCGATCCCTATCGAGATAACGATAGTAAACCACATTGGCACAGACATAATTGCTGTTGATCTGATGTAAGCCGTCTCCGATAAAGACAATGTCGATTAGAACATGTCCTGTTCGAGACTGAATGATTTGCGCGACGCATTTCATCTCATATAAATGTGTAAAAACTTCTTAGGACCTCATCTTTATGAAAACTCCTCAATATAGCACATGTGTTCGCAGATTGCTAAAATTTCTTTCTCCACATATCATGCTTACTCAATCGACATCAAGATCCCTCCCAGTTAAACTCATGCATAACTATCAACTCACTCTTCCCCGGCCTTATTCAATCTTCTCTACGGTAGTCATACCCACCGTGGGATCTGGTACAGAGCGCTGTCACAGATACCCAACACCCGTACACAAATGCTTGAAATTGTTCCCATCAAAGACCAATGAAGCAAGCAATTTAAGAGGCTTAACCATCTACTGAATCCCGCAGACTACTACTTCAATAGTTTGTTATATTGCTGTTTCCCTCATCGTTGCATTTGCGACGCTCGCATCTGCTTTTTCAGATGAGACTCTACTAGATGGGTATAAACTCAGCGAAGACAACTGCACAATTGAAGAATTGAGAGGGCCATATGCCTGCGTCTTTTCACGTTCCTCCGCGGACAGATTAAGCTATGAAATTTACTTTGGCCATTGCAGGTATTTGTACGATATTCCATACTCGAATTATTGATGGCTTGTTGCTAATTTAGCGCATAGCACCGAATACAAGGATGAAACTAAATCGACGTGGTATTGCAGTTTCGCTTGAGCAACGTGAAGCGAACGGAGTATGTCTAAAGCTGCGATGGATAATCCTTTACTTGCGAAGAATTAGGCTGTGACAGGGAAAGAAAGGTCGTGAGTATGATGGGTCAAATTCTTTAAAAGACTCCGAATCAAATAGTAAATCAACAATGCACTGTAGACTCATACAAACCACTGAGTACCAGTACAGTTACTTGGTCCGATAGCAAAATGCAAGTGTGAGGTTAAAGTCAAGCCTTTGGGGGCTTTACTGTGTAAGGCTGGGTTCGGCTTAAATCACGGGACAGCAGTAGTATACTTAGCGTGTCAGCCCTGTTGACACTCGCCCAGCCTCGACCCCCACATTCCCTGACTACTAGCCCTCAATCCCTACACTTTGTTCTCCAAACCAGAGGCAAAGTCTTGTACATATACGACGTTTACTGCCTATCTGCACTCCCGCTAGTTTCCGAGCAGAAGTATTGCAAGTGTAGGTAAGACACGCCGATGAAACCCTGGGTAAAGGCAATAGACGAATAAGGATTGCGAGTCAAGCCGCGAGCATTAAATACATGTTCCATCCCTGATACATCCATGTCAATCAAAGTTTATGTGTAAGTATATCGGCTGACAGCGGTCAAGGAGCTGACCACAAAAAAGGGTATTGTCTAGTGAAACGCCTCGATCATCATCTGGGTGAGCCCCTCTATTCTCGCTTGTTCTCGAAGCCTTCTGCATCCTAGGGGACAGCTTCGATAATCTCCAAAACCAACACTATGTTTGATGAGAATCATTTTCGCTACAGATCTGCTAAACGCTTATCAGCTAGCAACATGAGGCTGATTGTCGGGTCAGGGGAATTTAGGGCTGTCGCGTCATTGTCAGTTGCGACCCACTCAACCCGAGTGCGTGCGTAACGGGCAGGCTTGCGTATGCCCCGGACCCTCCACCGCGCTTGGCTATTTTCTTACCAGAACAAGGGTCACCTCTCGGTCATTTAATGATAAGACACACCTAATAAACGGATTGCGTTTGAAATCTTCCAATTGCGTGGCCACCTTTCTCTCCTTCTCAGTCTCTCTTTCAAGTTTTTTGTCAACATGTTGCCGCAATCACCACAATTCGGCAAACTCTTTAATTATTTCACGTTGATTGCGCTGTGTATGATCGGATTGATTTACCAATTTCATCTTATCCAGGACCACCTCGCAGCTCGCATCCCCGAAATTCCCGCAATAATACCATGCAACCCAAATGGAATCCCCAAACTACTCTGGTATAAGTTGGGCCCCAAGGGCCTTTCTGAAGAGGCACGGAACTGGACCGACACTTGCATCAAGGGCAACCCTGAATATCGACCACACTTTATGACGGACGAGAGCGGCGATGAATACGTTCGCAAAACCTTTGCATTTCGTCCCGATATCGTCAACACGTACCTTGCATTCCCAATTCCCATATACAAGGCGGACATGCTACGCTATCTGTTACTCTGGGATCAAGGTGGCGTGTGGTCGGATTTGGACGTCTCGTGCAAAGGTGTGCCTATGGACGAATGGGTACCACCTAAATACCAAGGAAGAGCTTCGCTCGTGGTAGGATGGGAGTTTGACGCAGGTCACGACGAGCCCTACATGCGCCAGTTCTGCAGCTGGACTTTTATGGCTAAGCCACGGTTACCGTACATGATGCAGGTTGTTGACGACATCCTTGCAGAGGTCCGGGCGAAGACTCTTCAGTATAATGTTCCGGTCGAAAATATCACACTGGAGATGATGGGAGATGTTGTTGATTTCACGGGCCCCCGACGCTTAACGACTGGTACCTTTAGGAGCTTGGCGAAGCGACTCAACAGGACCCTCGATATAACCGAGACATATAACATTTTGAAGCCGCAACTCTTCGAAGATATCTTAATATTACCAGGACATTCATTCTCGGCACTCACAAACAGGTATACACCGGAAGAAAAGTTGGTCCTGCCGCCCCAACTGGTGACCCATCACTACTCTGGAAGTTGGAAGAACGACAAGGGGGGTGAGGCAAAGCGTATAAGATGATGCATTGAGCGTACTTGGAAGACTTTCATATCTGGCAACCAGTCTTCATATCTTGCATTTATACGATGGTCAAATGCAAGTCGTTCCATCTAGGCTGTGTCATCAACATGGCTCACGTGAGCAATGAAGCCCACCATGGCGAGCCTCTCTGCTATGGATTGAATATTTTGGTGTGTGAGAAAGTGAATAGTGGGGGTATAAGTATCAAACTGAGGAAAGAGAAGGTGCGCTACTGGCGAAGAGCAGTGGGATGAGCATGCTTCATGGGACATGTGCTACGTATAGTTACGCAGATGCCAAGAGCTTCATAGTCAATCCGAAAGATGAAGGATTTTTCGAAACAACAAAGGGGGTATGTGTTGGGAGGAATTGTGTCTTGAATTACTGCGACGTTGTGGCTAACACCAAATGTCTACGTCATGAGTCGCTCAACCACATAGCGACCCACCTCAAGAGCGTGACACTTTCATCGCGACACCATCAAAATCTCAACATCACCCAGGGGATCAACTCTGGTATAACAAACAACCACCATGGAGTATTCGGCCCCCCACCCGTCGTCGCAATTCGAAGGCTACTACTCCAAGTTCGACCTTGAATCTGGAGCTCACATCGCCTTGATTATCTGCTCAGTCCCCAACGCGCCGTCACGCCCACACATGGTCTCATTCACCTACTACCCCTCAACCGGACACCCCATCTTCCAACGCGAGCACTTCATCCCAGAAATCAAGCGCGTAACCACTGACCCTAAAAGCAAATCATTCGAGCTTCGAGTACCAGGCATGGGCACTATGACCACCACCAGCAACGGCCTCACAAGCTACAATCTCTCCGCCGAAGATGGCAGCTGGACTCTAAAAGCCCAATGCACAGAGTACACCGCCTGGCGATCAGACAAAAGCACACCAGAGGGCTGGATGATCCACCTCCCATTTCCACTGCACTGGCACGTCCATTCTCTCTGCTCCCCGACCACCCTCTCCCTCTCCATCCCCGCACTCGGCACAGATTTTCCAGCCGCAGATGCAAACACCAGCGCGACCATCCACCAAGAGAAAAACTGGGCCACTAGCTTCCCGGACGCACACATGTGGGTGCAGGCCTGGGACAACGACGCGAAACGCGGTGTGTGTCTTGCAGGCGGCAAGATTCTATACAACACTGCTTTCCTACTCGGCTACCGCTCCCTAGACTTAAACCTAGATTTCGTGCCCCCGTTCTCGGTCGCGTATCTGAATCTCTTCTCACCGTTTATGAGCGTAGCGAATGACTGGGAGGACCGCTCGTTTTCCATTTCAGTCAGTAATTATATGTACAAGTTGGAGTTGAAGGCGCATGCACCGAAGGAACATGGATGGTTTGGTCTCGCGAGTCCGTTTCCAGATGGGCACCGCACGAACTTTTGTAGAGAGAGCTTTTTGGCGACGATTGAAGTGCGGATTTCAGAGCGGCAAGGGTGGTGGCCGTGGAGTGCGTGGAAAGAGGTTAAGAAGGAGAGGTGGGAGGGGGCGAGTTTGGAGTTTGCGGGGGGGTATTATCCTGAGAGGGGGGAGACTAAGAAGGATTGAGTTGTTTAGGGAAAGCCAGAAAAGGTGGTGCAGTAACTATTTATAATTCAGATTCACATACGTATAGGTTACAACTTGGATGCCTTCTTCTCTCTTGGCTTGATGAGCGCATCCAGCTCCTCGACAAACCGCTTGGGCAATACACTCCTCTCGATACCTTGCTTGCCCTCCCATTCTTCCTCCGTCTTACGCTCCCAATCCCAATACCTCTTCATTTCCTTACCCACCCATTTGCTAATGTGGTCTGCACTCTCTCCTACTTTCTCCATGGGAATCAAATGTCCGGCCCCTTTGACCATGACGTTGTCTACAAGGCCCTCTGCACGGCCTCCACTGCCATTAACACCAGAACCTGTCATCTGCATCTTCTCTTCGATGACGGCGTCGTCGGTTAGAAAAGAGAGTTCGCCAAAAATGTAGAAGCAGGATGGGCGGAGTGAGGGTAGCTGGTTGAAGACGATTGTGCTTTCGCCGCGGTAAAAGGGTGTCTGAGGCTCCTCGTAAGGCGTCATGTCTGCGTGCGTTCTTCTGTTCAGCTTTCGGTTGCTGAGGGTGAAATCTGCAGATGAGGGCTCCTTGTCTCCTGGTTTTGCGGTGAAGTTTGCGCGGAGAAATGTCAGGACTTCTTGATGCTTGGTTGTTGTGAGGGTAACTTCAGGCTTCTTCGCGTCAGGGAATAGTTTTGTCGGCACGTCCCTTAATCCATTCTTCACCCAGCGATCCAGCACGCGAGGATCCCAGGTTTGGTAGAATTTGCTCTTTGCGAAACTTTTTGCTGCGTCTTCCCGTGATGGCCAGAGCTCTCGGCGCCTTGCTGATGCGGCTGCGGGTGAAATGTTGCCGTTGAGAGAGACTTTTCCTTGGATGACGGGGTCGATGAGAATAAGTGTCTCAAAGAGCCTGGGATGGAGAAGAGCAAGATTTGCGAGTTGGCAGCCGCCCATGCTGTGGCCTACACCAATAATGGGACGGGGCATTTGGTCGCGGAAGAGGTTGACCATGTGGAGCAGATCTCTGCTGTGGTCCAGCCATGCCGCTATTCAGAATTAGCTTTTTGCTTTGCACAGTCATGTGAGTTTGCATACGGTCATTGCCCAGTTTACCCTCGTTCAGCACACCACTCCAGCCCTGGTGCACAACGTCTGCTATCCAGATTCCGCGGATACCAAAACCGTGCTGCTCGCATCGCTTGAGCAGCTCATCCCACAGCGGCTCGTACAGTTCTTTTGGAAAGCCATTAGCATGTGCAGCGATGATAGTAATGTCACCGGGCTTGGGGCTCTTGTTGCTGAGTGGCGTGTATTGCTTAACGGCCAAATCTAGTACTTCCTCTTGTTTTGTTGCTGTTGATCGGGGAAATCCACGGATATGCGAAGCTGGTACTTTGTGTTCGTCTATCCGGAAGTAGGTTGAAGACATGATTGGATAAGGGGCTATCCGGGCGCGACCGTATTCTGCTTCCGTGGACAACGATGTGGAGAAGTAAGTTATTTGTGAAGGAAGTGGATACGGGCGCGATCAGAATAGATAGATGGTTGTTTTGGATGCCGAGAAAAAGATAAAAGCAAGCGTGGGTTAATGCTCCAGGTGTCGTGACGAGTTACCGGCATAATCTGGGAAAGACTGCCGAGGTCCATTCTGGATGCGGCGACTCAGTACTACACGAGGAAACCAGTAGGTTTACGGCCTAATCAGCTAGCCGGAATCTCTCTAGATCATCGGAATAGTGGTTGTGAAGGCAGCCAGTATGAGAACGGACATTCATGCCCCCGCGCATCGGGTCATCCTATACATGTGACGGAATCGGCGTGGAAGTGTTTGGGTGGTGTGTCACGTGACACATGTCGCGTTCGCGCTGCACTGATACGCGCCGCCAGTCGCGCCTGGTGGGAGAATATCCGCAGTGCTGCATTCTCCCCACAACGGCACACCACGGTCAATCGCCGCCATGGAGGACACAACTATGCAGGACAGCTCCCCAGGGTTGTTTGCAGAGCTCAGCTTCACCATATGTCCCAATGGTCTATCCGAAGACCGTATACAAGAGGTATGCGACGCGTTGCGACTTGAGTTTGAGACAGCCATATTGATAGACAGTGTAGATTGAACATGCCATTACTGGCGCACATGGGACGATAGTGCCCTTTGAAGCCCCCAAGGGTCGCATAGATAATCTTCAAGAAATCAACTACATCGTTTCGGAGACGGCCGACTTCCCAGACTACTACCGTGCCCTCGATCTCATGATACATGTCATCAGACCAGCATGGGTAGACGCGTCCCTCCAGGCCATGAAGACCAAGAATCCGCGGACATACAGCCCGGATCCTGCTCTGTTCATGAATGACGTCGTCATATGTTGCGGTGACATACCCAGCGGAGACAAAGAGGCTATCGAAGGCGGCGTGCTGGCAATGGGCGGACAGATTGCACCCAGCTTGTCCAAGTGGGTGACGCATCTTATTGCGCTGGATATCAGCGAGCCACGGTGCCAACTGGCGATTAGCAAGCGCCTGCAGCTTACGATTGTGCTACCCCACTGGTAAGACTTGCATTGTGGACATAGAGTACGACTATCGCTGACATTCCCAGGTTCGATGACTGCCTAAAGGTTGGACGGAGAATATCAGAACGCCCCTATACGCTACCAAATCCCGAGATCCTCGCCGATGCCGAACCAGGCGCAATACCTCCTACGCGAACAAGCCAGCAGATTCGAGATGCCACCACGCCAGACCCCCAGAATGAGCCTGTACCACCCCCACCTCATCTCGAACCCCCGCGTGCGATCAAAGCCTTTGAAGGGAAAAGCGTCAAGCTTGGAGAAGACCTAGATATCAGCACTAAGCTCAGGGGTATCATAACAGGCATGATCAAGGCTGGTGGCGGTAGTGTGACGTCCAAGATAGACGAGGCAGACATGTACGTATGCAACTACCGGGAAGGTACCGACTATGTCAAGGCTTCGCAAGCACAGAAAGATGTCGGCAATCTCGGCTGGCTATACTATCTCATCACTCACGGCATCTGGACAAATCCAATGCAGCGAATGATGCACTATCCACGGCCACGTCAAGGCATTCCAGGCTTCGATAAGTACAAGATTAGCATATCAAGCTATACGGGCGAAGCGCGTGTTTACCTAGAGAACTTGATCAAGGCGGCTGGCGCAGAATTCACAAAGACCTTCAAACAGGATAACACACATCTTATTGCTGCACACAAGAACAGTGAAAAATGCGAAGCAGCAACAGAGTGGGGTGTGAACATTGTCAACCATCTTTGGCTCGAAGACAGCTATGCTAAGTGCCGAGAGATGCCACTGACGGACAATCGCTACACATACTTTCCAGCGCGAACAAACCTCGGAGAGGTCTTGGGCCAGACCGAGATAGACCGTGAGGCTACTGAGAAGATGTTCTTCTCCAAACAAACGAAGCCTACCAAGGCTGCAAAAGTAGCGCCTCAAATCAATAATGCCCCAGCGTCCAATGTTGCACCAAGAGTAAGCGAGCCTCCACCAGCACGCAGCCCGCCTGCGGCTGAGAAGGCTAAGCGTGCCAAATCAGGAGGTAGTGTGCAAACCCCAGCGCCTGCACGACAAACAGATGGAAAGGAAAATCATACACCAGGCAGCCGTGGTGCCAAGGACCGAGCACTGTCAAAGCTACACGATGCCGCCCCAGATATTGCCCAATTCGAAAAAGAAATGAAGCGTAAGGGTGGCGTCATACATGGCGGACGTCGACGAGCAGAAGGCGAGACCGAGGAACGAGCAAAACAAACAAAAAGTGGTCGTGATTCTATGTCGAGTAAGCGTTCTTTTGACAAAGTCGACGAAGACGACGAAGATGAAGAGACAGAAGAGGAAACCACGGATATCCCAGCGAAGAATAGTAAACGAGCAAAGAAGGAGAAGCTTACCCCCATCAAATTCCGCATGTTGATCTCAAAAGATGAACGATGGACCAACAATCCAGACAAAGAGTCCAAAGACAAGACACGTCTACGCGAACTTGGCCTCTTCATCACCGACGACTTCAAAAAAGTAGACCTTGTCTGCGCCCCACATCCAGTCCGAACAAAAAAGTTCATCGCGTCGCTCGCCTGCGCACCCACTCTCGTCTCAACCAGCTACCTCGACTACGCCCTCAAGCACAACAAGCTTCCCCCAATCGACAAGCACCTTCTCCAAGACAAGGATTTCGAAAAAGCAAACAACTTCAAACTCTCCGAAGCCCTCGAACGCGCAAAGCAAAACCGCCATCGTCTCCTCAAAGACTGGACTATTTTCTGCACCGAAAAAGTTGCGGGCGGGTTCGATACCTACAAGGATATTATCGAAGTCAACGGTGGCAAATGTTCGCTTTGGAAAGGTCGACCAACTACTGTCTCGGCTTCCAAGCGTATTCTTAATACCTCGGATAAGGAAGTTAGTCAGAACCAGGTTGAGGACGAGGGCGATGTGCTATATCTAATTTCCGACGCTGACAAGAGGGAATTCACGAACTGGAACAAATTTAGGGAGTTGGCCAAGAAACACGACATGACTCCTCGCATTGTCAAGACGGAGTGGCTGCTGAGTGTTGCTATGGCGCAGTATGTGCATTGGGATCCGCAATGGGAGCTTAATGAGGAGAGTATGGGGGCTGCGGCGAAGCAGTGAGAGTTATTCATATTTCTTTCTTTTATTTATGTCGCGAACTTAGTGCGCGTTTTCGGCAAATGCAGCGTTGAAGCAAAGCGATGGGCGTCATGGTACGTGGGTTTGTCTTGATAGCGATGCGAAAAAGCGGGGAAGACTGGAGTGTAAAGCGACTCGTGTGCTTATGTATAATTAGATGGATTGCATGATGAGTGTGGTGGAATACCAACTATCTCTGTACACGTGACTCTTTTATTCCATCTAAATGTGACATATTACTCTTTCTCTACTAAGATACTACAAGCGGAAGAACAATGGAGTACGTGTACTTGTATGTCTGTAGATGCAAATAGAGATCGCCACGCACACATCCAATCATTGCCTATCGGAGGTAAAAGATCCAAATATAGCAATGGTAATGCTGCAAAGCATACTGTTTAGTGCTTACGTTGGAGCGAGTAGTCAGAGAGATTCAACTCAGTGGATTTTACAGATTCCTAAATACATGACTAAATCAAACGTGTACTTTGGGGGCCGAAATAAGTCACCAAACTGGTGGCGATGGAAGCACACGTACCTGGTTACACTGCGAAAGCAAGGCTAGATACACTAGATCGAATACACAGCAGATGATTTTTTGAATGTGAAGATGAGATTGCTTGTGAAGAAGCGTATACACAAAATGATAAAGACTAAGATTATTTTTGTTTTCTAGTCTAGAGAAACCATCAACCCTAACGAAACAACCCCCAGCCATGAAATTTTGTATAAAAGAAGAACAAGAGAAAAGGGTATATCGATATCGCACCAATCCATCAAAAACCAACCCTCAAGCGTCCAAAGAAAAAGAAACTACCTCTCACAACCCCCTCCATCCACCAATCCCCCAGTTTCCCCTTAAACAGCTGTATGCACAATCTTCGGCACCTCAGGCATCTCCGCCACATCAACCCTCTCATAATACCTCGACCGCATCGACGCCGTGCTCGTACTCCTCGGGCGTCCCACACTCCTCATTCCGGCATCCCCATCCTCACCCTGCACCACGGGACTCAACAGCACCGAACCCAGTGACCCTCTACTACTCACCGCACTAACACTACTTCCCACACTGACAGCGCGATCAGTAGTCACAGCACGTCCGGGACCCGCAGCAAGCCCGGCAATCGGATCCCTAGCCTCCTCCACAGGCGTAATGTGCAGGGGGACAAGACGCATAGTATCAGTGCTTGCCCGCTTTCTGCGGTCGTCGGCGTCGGAATCGACGTAGAGCGTTACGCTGCTGGCGCGGTCGCGGCTGAACATGTTTTCCTTGTCTTTGCTGGGGAGGAGGAGGGCGGCGGCGTCGGGTTTCTGAGCTGCGAGCTTTTTTATTTGATGGCGGCGGTAGAGGAAGAGGGAGAGAGCGCCGGCGAGGAGGAGGGCGCAGATGATGATGAAGATTGTGGTGGAGACAATGTTTGATTTTGTCCAGTAGGTCGTTGGGGGTTGGGATTTTAGGGAGCCGGTGGTGGTGGGGGAGGGGGCCTCTGGGGTTGTGTCTGCTGGGGTGGGAGCCATGGTGATGGGGTTGGGTAGGTGGTTTGAGTGAAGTGCGTTCGGTGAGGGTTGAGTTGCAGTCGAGGCTATTGGAATGGACTTGTGACGTGTGGGAGGAGGGTACAGGTAAGAGATATACAATGGTAGTTTATGCTCCAATGGTTTGGACTGAGTAGTGGCAGTGTAGTCTTGATAGTAGAGAAACCTTAACTGGCCTGGTCCCAGTAACCGGGCACCAGGCAGACATATATTTACCCGTTAAATGAAACATACTGTGCATAGACGCGTTCAGATCTCAAGACCGATGGCGCTGAATCGGCGAAAAGGCGTCCACTACGTGTTCTCGTTCGTCACAGAAGAAACAAGATGCTCAGCCTCAGCACGTGTGGGGAAAACTAGGCCCTCCATCTTGAAAAAGGTCACTGCGCCCTTTGGTAGAGGGATGAAACGAAGATGCCTAGCGAATGATAGGACGTGAAGAAGGGCCGTCAAAGCTATGACTGCACCCGGTTAAGTAGGGAGATACTGAGAAAGGATTGCGGAGCAAATGGCGGTGGCACAGGGTGGTAGACCGGGTGTGCTAAACATGCGTCTAGGGGGCGCCATCATCGAGCCACACACACCGACATGCTGCGAGTCGACTTGGGCTCTCCTAACACGTGCGGACAAAAAAGGTTTGCGGCCTTACTGCATTCACGCGTGCAGCTGAGAGTATGAGCTCAGCTAGTGGAACTGCCAACATTAGATGGCTGATGTCGCCAGCACTTGCCCTACACGTCACTTTGCGCTGACCAAATCGTCAAACGACCCCCAAAAACCTCTACAACATGAGAAAGATTGTATATGTTCAAACAGACATGCGGCTTAAACTAAGGTGTGTTGTAGGATGTTAGTTTCGGAAGTTAGGCCAACACGGCCACCAGCGCTAGGAGAAATGAGTGGAAACAAACCACGATTCGGCGGGCACAAGGCTGAACGCTGCTGGTCCCTCCTCTTGTTGCTTCTGCAAGTCTGCCTAGACCAAGCCGAAAGTAGGGAGGGGAGGGGAATGTGCGCAAATTTGCAAAAGATGGAGGCTTCCTGAGTATTTTGCGGTAAGCCACAAAGCCATGATGCGAGGGGGGGAGGCTCCCGCTGCGGCGCCACGCTGTTAATATGGTACAGTTACTTGCAGGAGAGGGGTTGTAGGGCCAATGGAAGACCAAGAATTGCCGACCAGAGGCTTGTAGGAATGAGACAACTCATCAGATGCGGCGGGGCGACTTGTGAGAGCAAAGAATGTCACCCACTAACCAGCAGGCGTGGTGTTGAAGTGGTGATGTGGGTCGTCCGATAACGGGGAAGGGTCATGCACAGTTTGGACCCCAAATCTGCCAGTCTACTAGTCTACTAGCGCCCTCGCTAACGTGATTATGCTATTTCTGGGTTCGTGAAAAACAGCTGCGCCACAAGACCAAGTCGGAGTCGTCTGTGCAAGAACGGTAAAAGCCGCATACAACTGCCCACAAATGAGAAACTTGTTAAGAGGCTTCTGCGTGCATCTTACCTCATGTTGCATACTCCTAACAAGATTGCCTAGTCAAAGCATCATGTGATGGAAGGTTTCTTGTTGATTCAACTAAAAACTAAACACACCAAAACTTGTACATGTGACATGTACTTGACATGCAAGAAATTCCAAAAACATATCATAGCGGGGATGTTCCCTGATTTCTTTGGACGTGTGTACATACTATGAAAACCTACTAATTCATTAAGCCGCATAAAAACTGTGTAACCTACATTAGACGCCACACCGTACATATGCATAGATAGTAAAGAAAGAATCAGGCTATTCAAATTAAACGATCACAACAAGGCAGAACCTACACACATCCTACAGAAAAACTCACCCCGTTTCTCAATACCATACTACTTGAATATATTCTTCCAGTTCCGCGTCTAGCGTACCGGAATATGATTTCTGAGAAAGGAATAGCAGGCTACATCCCAACATCAGTGCTATACATAACCAACAGTCCTAATTATCGTCACCACATCAAAAGTGCCGTCTATTCGTACTCCCCACCCCCCAAAAAATTGTAGATATCACCTAACCAAGCCTTCAACCGTACCCCCTACACGCTTGACTGCACCAACATCTCCCCCTCCCTCCCTCCTCTTTCTTTTTTTCAACCCTTTCCCACCCCTCCCCATCCTCGACCCTCAACCCTCAACCCACAATGCATCTCACCCACTCCTCTCTGCTAATACCTACCTTCTAAACACCCTTGCCGTATATAGGTAAACCCTTACGATCAACTCCCAAACCGTCTTTATCATTGCCCATTGTACAGCAATTAGCTTAATGAGTGTATATTCGTTGGGCGTAGGGGTGGGCGAGAAATCTAGATGCAGAGTTTGATGAAAAAAAGTCGAAAAGGGGAAGATTAAGTGTTTGCTGGGGGGTTTTTTTGTTGGGGAAGAAAGATGAAGGGGTGTGTATGGAATGGCGCTTCTGTCCCTAGGATTTGGGCCGTTGGAAGAGAGATCTAGTAGGAACTTGAGCTTTAAGGGGTTTCCATTTGTTACTGTTCATATTTGGGGTCTCTTATCCTCGTAGTTTCTGATTTTAAAAGTACACAAAACGTTCATCCTTTCATACACAAAACGACGAAAAAAAAAGACTCAGTAAGAACTTGGAGGAGAAAAAGGGAGGGGAGGAGGGAGGGGTCAGCACTGACGTTTGCAAGATAGTTATTCATTTCAAGTTATCGGTAATAAAGTGTGGTGGCCGTCATGAAGCTTATGCTATGTGTAATGCCTTTTCCAGCGAAAAACCTCGTTCATTGTATAGATCTCAAGAGAATGAAAAGAGAACAAAAAAAGCAAAATACAACAGCTCTTTTGCGAGCTAATCGATGAATAAAACGCCGGTCCCAATGCATGTTTGAACCCAGAGGCCCAAAAAAAGAGGCACGTATGCCAAATCCGGAATCAAAATCCTCTGAACCAATCCTTTTTCTCGGTAGTTTGTAAACACCCTGACGCTACTCGAGCGAAAGGTTTTCTCTCTTCCAGTTTTCGTGTAGTACAGCAATAGTGCTAGCAGCGTCTTTGCAACGCGGAGGCGCACGGGCTGGGAGGTCGATGACAGCGCGACGTAACACTGCGCGAGCAGGAACGCCGTAGAACTGGATGAACTTTTTGTAGTAGTCGCGAACCAGGCCGCTGAGAATGGCGAAATGGCCAGGCCAGAGCTGGTCGGGCGGGGTGTTGCAGATGGAAACAATTGCTCTCCAGTACTCTGACGTGGCTATCGCAGGGGTCTTGGATGCAAATGAGCGGAGAGACATGGACGCATAACCGGCGCCGATACCGCGCATACGCTGAGAGTATGATTCTGGGGTAGAGTCTGGTCTCCATCCTAGCCGTAACCGGCCTTCCTTTGTATCCATGGTGCCACGAATACCGAATAGAGGCGGACAGGCCTTGTGGAACTTGGCCAGGGCAATATCGGTAAGTGGGAGGCTGTTCCACATGTACTTTTGATCACCAAACAGACTGGCTGCGATTAGGCCAATCTCTTGGATGATACGGCCGTCTGTGTTTGCTGCCTCCTTTTCGAATTGTTTGACAAGGAACTTTTCAAAGCAGATCCAAACGTAAAGCAGGAAGGCAGGGTATGCGGCGTCGTTTTCGTTGGCTAGTTGCGGGATCTGGTGCGAAACGATATATGGGCGGATATCAATCATGGGCCCTGGTGTTGTCAAGGCGACGTCAAAGCACTCTGTTCGGAGCCGCTTGATAGCGGCGGCGCTGTCTTTGCGCTCAACGTTGATCTGACCAAGTCGAGTGCGGAGGGCGCGCCGAGCGTCACCAACTGGGCCCTTGAGGGGCGAGGATGGCTTTTTATGTTCCTCCCAGAATGCCTTGCGGAACTCCTTCATGCGCTGGTGGAGCTGGAGGTATTGGTTGTGCAATTGCTCAAAATTGCTGGCTGGCGCTGGTGCACTGGTCGCCGGCTTGGGCGCAGCTACTTGGACAGGCGCGGCGGCGGGCTGTGGTGCTGGTTGTTGTGGAGCTTGCTGGCGAGCTTTCTCAGCAGCTGCTGCGGCCTCGGCAGCTTTTCGATCGGCCTCTGCTTTTTCTTTTTGCTGCCTTTCGGCTGCAGCCTCTTGCTCCCGCTGAGCCTTGATCCTTGCCTCTGCCTCCTGAAGCTTCTTTTGATGCTCAGCAGCCTGGCGGGCGGCTTCCTCTTCGCGCTGCTTTGCTTCGAGAGCTCTCCGATGCGCCTGTTCCTCTTCGCGGGCCTTTTGCTCGCGCAGTCGCTCAATCTCCCTCCGCTGGTTTTCCTCGTGGCGGAGACGAGCCTGTTCCTCTTCCAAGGCCAGTCGCTCGACCTCTAGCTTTGCGGTGCGAAAAACGCGCTCGTGTTCCTCGGCCGCGTAGGCCAGTTGTTCGGCGTGTCGCTTAGCCCGCTCGGCTGCATCTTGGTCGAGCTTCTCATTAAACTGACTGTCCGAGATACTAAGTCGGAGATTAAACTCGAGCGCAAGTTTTCGATTAGGGCTTTCGTAAGGGTCACGGATAAGGGACTCGCGGTGAGGGCGCAGGCTGCTTCGGTTCGGCGATAGGCGTGTCGGAGAAGCATCCAGGAAACTCGAACCAAACGAAGTCGCAGTATGCATGCTGGAAGACGATGTACCCGATCTGGCGGGCATTGTAGCGACGTAGAGGAGGGGTCGGGCAGGGCAGGGCGATTGGGAAAAGGGTGGTTGGTGAAAAGAGGTGAAAGCGGTCGGTTGGACGCTAGTAGTTTGGCTGTACACTTCAGCACCGGAGTCACGTGAGCGCGCATATCTCTCCGCACATCCCTGTCGTAGCTGTCACCGCGTTGGCGACACGTTCTTTGCCTGTTCTGTGCTGCCACCGTGGGCAGCAGCAACGCCTGGCCGCAGCGAACTATCGCTTAGGATATTTTTGATTTATTTATATATATATATATTGGTGTATACACTGACGGATGTATTGACATGCAGGTACATGGGCATACATATTTGAGTTTGTTGCTGACCCCAGCGCTCTGCTACTTGGGTATATGTACGTATACGTGCATGTTCTGCCGCTAGCCTGGTGTTGGCTGGGGCGGTCGACTCGGTGCCACCTCGATCATGTCGGACAGCTCGATCGTCTTCGTCTGTCGCTATCGAGCGACGACTGAGATGAGAAGGGGAGCCCAGGGATACTTACATGAGTCGTGCCGTGGACAAACAAGTGTGTCGGGATTTCATAAACTTCACCAGACGCGTCGAGTGGAGTGTGTGTGCCGCCGCAAGCTGGTGGGACCGGGGCTCGGTGCGCCCTGAAGGCGCTCGTTTCACTGACAAACGACGGCTGATGTGACAGTTTGTTGCTCGGCGCCCTCCATGGCCCACCGTGATCCGACGCAGATGGGCGTATTTACATAGCTAGGCGAGGACACCAGCCTCTCCTTGTTCAGCATAGCAGCCAGCTGGGTCGAATCCCC